TGGCTGCACTTTTGACTGAAGTTCCAGTCATATTCACAAGACTTATGGACAAGGGGAGTCAGCAGCAGCGTGTGGGGTGGCTGCTCCTAAAAATGCTGCTGCTTCACCTTCTTTTTGTTTAGGATTTCCTTCCCATGCATGTCAAACAGCAGAATCTTTGAAGAGGAATTCCCTGTGTTTTCCTACATTTCTAGGCAATTTGGGCTGAAGTAACTTTTAAGCAAAATGAACCAAAGCTGATGTGACACAGAAACCTCTGAGCAGACACAGAAACCTCTGAGCAGACACAGAAACCTCTTGAGCAGAGACCCTACCTGTGTGATTTTGAAGGCTGTCTTCTCTTGCTCTGTGAGCCATTTTTCCTGCTCTAGGGCCTGAAGAACATCACGGCCTGAATTTCAACCTGGTTTGGGTGCATCCTGCACTCCTGTTGGTTCTGATATGGTGGCGTGAAGCTGAAGCTTAGACAAAGCAGAGTTCTTGGGTTTTTAGTCTAAACAGAGATATTTGGTGGTGTTCTGAATGGTAGACATGCTTTCTCTTTCTGTAAATCATTGAAAACGTGAGGGGTTTGATTCTTGGGGAATTATTTACTGCTATTTAAAGGCAGCAATGTAAATGGAAGGTCTCAGGGAAGAAAACTGTGGAAGAAGTAAAGCAATTGTAGCAGCTAAATTGTGCTCAGGGCATCTGACCAGCTCAGTCCTTCCCAGACTAGCTTGGTGAACTTAACTGTGTTGGAGGGGAAGAAGACCCCCGTGTTTATTCTAAAGAAGGTGAAGGATGGAAAGTGCTGGGGTTTATTCTTAGCCTCTGAATGGTTGGATGTGTGGCTCCCTTGTCTTTAGATAAGCATCAGATGCATGAGGATCATCCCCTTGATTCTGATACCAAACTGCTCAGAAATCACGAGGCAGATGAGGACCGACCACGAGTGATACAGCAGAGTGTAGGGATCATCTAGTGGTAAAGTGGAGAAACTTAGAATAATCTGTGGGTTATGAAGCCAGAACCTGAACTTGATCCTGTCAGATGATCTCTCTGGACTGATAGTGCCTGGATTCATTGGCCTCCCCACCACGTTTCCACAGGCACGGAGACGTGAGGGAGGAGGAGGGTGTTTATACATGCACTGGATCCTGTGCTAGAAGAATTAATCTTGATTTAGATGCTGGGACTTTCCCAACCAGGCAGGCCTCAGTGAAATTACTTGCTGCTCCCCCTCTGGACATGCTGCTCCTTCTAATCAGACCTACCTAGCATCAACCTCTTTTGACAGAAAGCCAACAACGCTTGTGCTGCCATAGTTAGAAGGGAGAGGCTTAACCCTGGACCCTGCTCAGAGGCTGCACATCCCCCCTTTTCTTCCACACCTTCCTTTTGCCCGGGCCTCCCAGCCAGCCAGGCCCTTCCTCCTAGGGATGTGGAGCACACCAGCAGCCTTGGAAACCCAGAGCTGCAGCCCTGGTGTGGTTTTTTCTCCCCGTGGTGAAGAGGTGAGGGATTCCCACGCACGCCAAGGGGTGATGCTTCCTCCCTGAGAGCCAGAGAGGCTGGTGGAGGTTATCTGCATGCAAAGCAGCAGCTCCTGGTTTTGTTCCTAACTCAGTGGGACCCAGAGCTGGGAGCAGCTGCTTCTTGCCTTTGCCTCTTTTGGGATGCTTTGCCTCCTCGTTCTAGCCTTGAGCCAACCAGTCAAAACCTGCCCACGTTCTGGTTTTGGCATTGAAGCCGTAGGTTGCCCTGTTTGGAGACCTCCAGAAAGCTTAGATGATCAACATGCAAATCCCCTGGGGATTAAGAAAATACAGCAGCTCCTCTCAGAGGGGTGGGAAGGGCTGGGATGGGACCACAGGAGCTGCCTGTCGCTTCAGCA